TTCTGAGAAGTGTTTTCCGTCCTCGGGGAAGGCCTCGAGATTTCTGAGAAGGCCGGGGGACTTCCGAACCTTCTGAGAAGGCCTCTACTGGCGTGCGAGCCATCAGGCGACTCGGATTCATTTCACTTTAGCATGCTGATGTCCCCCACCGCCATCAGACTTCATGTCTTTGGTGGAGGAGAGCTGTTGAGCTCAAAAGAAAGCTCACTTCCCCCCTCGCTCGCCGCCGAGTCTTGGCGTCACCGTTGGCAGTGTGGGGGCCATGCGGGGGGGGGTCCAGCGCGGGGGGGCGCTCCGGGCTGGGCGCGGGCCGTCGTGGGGAGTCCCCGGGGCCGCCTGGTGGCGGATGACTGCCGGGAGAGGCCATCCAGGCAGGGGGCGGCCTCGGCCAGCAGGGCTCGGTTTGGGGAGCTCCTTGACGCTTCTCGTGAGTCGGGCCCGTCCCTCTGATTACAGGAGGAAAATTCCAAAATAGGCAAAAATAGTCCGGGGACTATTTTTGTTGTATTTTTCCATAATTTTGGAGCATTTTCTGAGTTTTTTTTCTTGTTCGTCGAAAATCCCCCTGTAGGGGGACACGCCCGATTTAACGCTTCTCGTATCCCCAGCAGCCCCCCGCTTGGTTTTCTCTCCTCCGCGTTCGTTCTCTTCCTCGGTTCGCCTCCCTCTTCCTGTGCGCTCATTCAGGCCGGTGCATCTGCGTGTCGTACCTTTGCGCCGCCCGACCTTCTCGCCGCGGTCGCGATCAAAAAAGTATCCCCACCAGCCCATCCAGACACGATCGCCAGGTGAGTTGCCTTGATGAGGGCAGCGTGGAAACATACAGTGTGACGGCCGGCTTGGATGCCTCTCGGGGGTGCGGGGAGGGCGGGAACATTTGTTGTATGAGTCGTCAGAAGGTAGGTTGAACAGGTCGACCCGGCGCCGTTTTGGCTGGCTCTTTGAGGTTCTTCTTGGGGTCCTCTTCGACAAATGTTGACCTGCCACCGTTCTGGTATTGGGGAGGAACTCCTGCACCACCATGCTGCCAAAGCTTTTCCGAACGGGTTTAGAACACATCATTTCATATTGCCCCGATTGAGAGAGCAGGACGAGGATGAGGAGGATGAAGGGAAGGAGGAGGAGGGGGAGGAGGAGGTTGTATGCGGCCGTAGATGTGTCACTCGCTGCCTGTTGCCTCAGACATGTCGCGTTTGGGGCGGCAAGGCTCATCAAGATGAAGAAGGGGCCGAGTTGCCTTGATGATGGCAGAGAGTGGGGATGAGGTGGAGGAGAAGGAGGAGGATCCTCCTCTTCTCGTTCGGACCGCCGTGCGTGCCCCCCCTTTCGACCTCCTCTTTCGGTCTCCCGTCCGCTTCTCCCCCCCCTCGTCCTTCGTCGGCCCACCTCGACGGGCGGAGCGGTCCATTTTCGGAATGGCCCCCTCCTGCGGCACCATACGGTACCCGCAGGAGGGGGCCATTGGCAACACCTCAACAACAGGACATCGTGCCACTAGCGTAGCGTAACGTAGGAGGAGGAGGAGGAGGAGGAGGAGGAGGAGGAGGAGGAGGAGGAGGAGGAGGGCTTGATGGTGTTTGGGGCCTCTTGGAGCGTCTCTGATGTTCCGGAGGAGCCTCTTGGAGCCTCCCTGGTCTCTCGCAGGGGGCCTCTTTGGGGCCTCTCGAGGGCCTCCCTGGTGGTGCTGGGCGCCTCCCTGGTGATGGTGGGCGCCCCTTTGGGCTCTCGTGGGGCCATCTTAGAGGAGATCGATCAAAGAAGGGGCAAGGCCGCCCTCGAGGGCGCGAAGTTATTCGCGCTTCGCGGTTCGGCTCCGATTCCTCCTCATCCTCCTCTTCTCCCCTGGGAGGCGGCGCGAGAACGTGAAGTTATTCGCACTTCGCGCTTCGCGCAGCGCGAAGCGCGAAGTTGGGAGCCCTGAAGATCGATCAAAGAAGGGGGGAGTCAAACATGTGACCGCCCCCCTCGGAGGCTCCAAGATGGCCTCGTCGGGGCCTCTTGGGCCGCTCTTGACGCCTCCTGGAAGCTTTGGGGGGCCGTCTTGGGGCCCCTCTTGGGCCTCTCCAGGCCATCTTGAGGCCCAAGAGGCTCATCGGAAGCGAAAGGCAAGAAGCACAAAAACCTAGATGTTCCTCATGTGTTTGCAGGATTGTGGCCTCTCGAGGGGTGCCTGGGGAGGTTCGAAGGGCACTTGGAACCCTCGTGGGGCTGTATTGGGGCGTCTTTGAGGCATGTGAGAGGCTATCTTGAGCGATCTGGAGATATCTTGGAGGCCATTTTGGGCTGTCGAGGACCCTTTTGGAGCCATCTTGGGCCATGTTTGGCGCTCTAGTGCCTCGCCCCCCCCCCCGTACCAGGCTCATGGGAGGGGGTGGGGGAGGGGTCAAGCTACCCACCCGCCCGCAAGCCATCCAGCTCACTCCCACCCGCCCTCCCAACACACGAGTAACACCCGAGCCCGAGCATGTTCAGCGGTCGTCTTTGGATGGACAGCTAGTGGGAACCAAAGCCGACCCCAGGTGCGCGACGCTCGGGCGA